TGTCTACGCTTCTCTCATTATGCCTAAGTTTGAATATGCATATGTCATTTAGGACCCGCATTAAAATATATATTTGACAGTTTTGAATGTATACAAAACGGGCCAACTCGGTTCATACTGAAACACAATCATCTGTAAGTGTTACACAGCTTACGGGTTTCATCAGTTTATTGTCGCTGATTCAGAGGAAGCATCTAGCGAGGTTGTTCCTTTTTCAAAAGATTTTTCGTAGCTAATTTGTATTTCGTCAAGATTACGTCCTACCAAGCGGCAGGCACTTTCTTCTGTCATGATCACCCTACGTCTCTATTCCTTTGGAGAAGACTAACTTGTTTAAATATTCCCCTTTTGTTCTGGCCACGACTGACTGGAATGAGTCGGCATATGAAATAGCTCTGACCATAAATCACGGTCACTTCATGTCGCTTCTGCGTAACTCACGATGGCCCACCTCTTGTAAGCATGTTTATCGCTGACTTGGCGGCAACACTTGTGATTATTTTCCGCGTCTTTTCTATGTGCGCGTTGGTAACCATGACGACCCGTTATGAATTTGTCTCGTGATTATCGACTTGAATATATCTTGTTTGTTGTGTGTCTGTGTGCGTTGTGCCTGTAATTATCGGTTAGTTAATTTTGGGTAATTTGGTTTTTAATAATCACTTTCAAGTGATTTTGTTTCTACTTTTTTATTGGTAGATTTTGCATTATTGTTCGAATGGTTTTTCTATGTAATGATCCACCTAACCTTTAAAGGCACTTAAATGGATAAAGTCACCACCGGCACAAGCATATATTTTCTAAAGACAGAAAAGTACGAAAGGCGTGAAGAGAAAACGCGATTGGTAAAAACAAGAGGTAAAGCTGCACTAGTACACAGCAAGTTACCTGCTTGCAAAAAAAGATATCTTGGCTCATAAGCAAGCAGCCTTTATTATCTTATGTAAAAAAGGTTGTTACGACAAGTATCGTGACTGCAATCGTTCTCAAACCAGTGGAGTGGACAGAACTACTGTCATGGCTTGCAGACGTTGGTGCATAGTCATTGAGTGCATTTTTAAATGGTAGCTTGAAAATGGTGCTGTCGCTGCATCGGAACGACCAGACAGTCGCCGAAAGGAGCAAAGAGAATGCGGTAGAGGAAAAAATACAGCGAGTAACGTTTTTTTTTGTTTTTTAATATCTGAGAATTGTATGAAAATTTCGAGATCTGTGTTTTTGTAGGAACAAACCCACCACCTTGCCTTGACAAGCTTACAGCTCTCATACACAGCAAGAAGCAGAAAAATACTATTTCAATTTCTACTTTTATTTATTTTTCCTTCTGCATATAAAAAGAGCGAAGAAAACATGTAGTAAAAACGGTTTCACAAAGCTTCGTCCTCCCCTAGCAACAGCAGAAAGAGTCATCAACAACAACAAAAAAAGATTTTTAACACCAAAGATATATTTTACACAGCGTTTTTCTTAATTCTAGAAAAGCGTCAGTTTTACAAAAAGAAAAAGAGAAACTCGGTTTCATTGTTTCGATTTCCGCCCATGATACTGCGAGGTGACCATGTTTGGAAATGTTAGTGATGTCCAAAAAAAAAAAGGAAGGTGAGAAAGGCGGAACTATTTCACCATAACGACCCTAGTGAAAAGAACAATACAAGTTTATTCACCCGTCCGCGACCTATGTCAAATCGTGCCACATAAAAAACTCGTATGAAGAAAAATCTGGAACTCGGGTAGCTTCAAGCCTTCATCAGTGTAATTTACAGTTTTAGGCGGTTCGGGACAATCTCCCTTATATTATAAGATTTTATTCACATAAAACATGCCGAATCCTGACGGCTGCTGTGCGTCCCATCTAATTATTTAAAATATAGTTAATTGAAAAAGTATTAAACACTAGTTAAAAAAGCAATGCCATATGCTTATTCCATTGTGCCATCTGAAAAGTAATATGGGATAGACAACCCATATAGTTATAGTGTACGCTAGATGTTCAGCTGGCACTGATGTTCATGTTACTTCCGTAAGGCAAATTGAATCAGAGAGCAAGCAGTCTAGGCTTACAATGCTCCTTTGCATACCTATAGGAAAAGTGGCGTATACTTTGTATTCCTCCGGGAAAAAACACGGTTCTATTTTGTTACCTTGGTCGCGGCGAATAGAATGCATACACAGCAGTATGTATTACCATTGTAAAAATGTGATTGATTTAGGTGCAGCATATTACTTCACCAATCAACGATGTTAAACGTCGTCATATTTCAGGATCAAATCTGTCTCCCACAGCCGGTGTGCAATGACAAGCGAGGAATCTAAGCAAACTAACAATAGAAAATAATGTAGACTGTGTTTAAGGTAAGGGTATCTTCGCACGTATGCGTGAGCAGAAAAAATATGAAACTTTTTTTTATTTAAGTTAGACTATAATTAGTTTACTTTTACTTCATTTTGAGCGCTTACATCCGCAGGGAGTTAAGGCCGGTTCGCACATGCAGCGAAGCGCTGATGTAGCGCTGCTTACGTGTCGTCGTCTATGTATCGTCTGCCATGAGCAACCGTTTTGACGGTGCGATACAAAGCTGGTGAGCGCTCCCGTCAGCAAGCGCTTAGCGCGAGGTCAGCGCTCTGCCTGTAGCACTCCGCTGCATGTGTGAACGGGCCTTTACTGACCCAGTGATACCGCGTAGTTCGCCGTTTCTTGTTTCCAGATGCACTAGTTGGTTCATTTGGCATGGAAACCCCTATTGCGGAAAAGCGACCATGCCTTGGTCGCGCTAACTGGGTTTGATAGCGTATAGAATCGCATTTAAGAAGCTATTTTACCATTGTGTTTAATGCAATGAATTTGAAAACACACACGCACACACACACGCACACACACTGCCAGTGACTAATTTTTTTATATAAATAATTGACAAACGTTTCAACTACTGTAAACGACTTATTTTTCGCGGGCTTAATATTTCGCTTTTAGGTCAAAGCTGAAGTTTTTGAATACTTCGCGGGTTCTAATTTTCGCGACGCGGTCGTATCTCCATATAGATTCCAATATGTTTACATTGTACCGTAATTGTTCGCGGGATCTATTTTTTGCGAATCGTAGGCGATTCGCGATATTCGCGAAAATTAGGTCCTCGCAAAACTTAAGTCGTTTACAGTATTTATTACGTTACAATTATTTGTAATGTTTTCTTTTATAATCAAGCAGAAAGAAAAATGCACAACTTTTCTTCCAGCGGAATGCATTACCGGAATAAATTTTAGGCCGGTTGTTGCCTGCTTCAATTTGCAATAGCACACAGGCGCCAGCTGAACCTCTAGTGTAGGTAATATTAATCCTGTGAGACAACCACAGCCAAACATCAAACTCTCCTATGTGTACTTCATTGAAAAGAAATGCATACTATATGTCATGTGGTTTCTTGCACATGGTATATGGGTTGCGGTTTATCTGTGTCATGATTTTCCCAATGGAATTTAAAAAAGAGGTTGCAGTAACACAATTGCCAAAATGTAATTACAGTAATATAATTACATTTGACATTAAGGAGTAAATAATTCATTACCTTTTTGTAGGTAATTTAGTAGTGTAATGAATTATTCAGGACCAGTAATTCCAATTAAATACCCTTATTACGTTTTGGCATTAAGCAGAGTTTGCGTTCCTGTAGAAATAAAACGCAACCTCTTTCAAATATACACCTTTGACTAAATTGTAGTGGGCGAAAATTAAAAACACAAAGAAATTATTAGATAAGTTATATCATGGTAGGACGCATTTTGAAGAGGACAAATATATTTAGTCGTTAAAAGCGCACAATAGTTAGAGCGCAAGCACTCAAACGCGAAAGTACTCGTTTAAAAATATATATATGTATATAACATGAAATTGATACAACAGGGAAAGCTACAGAGACAAAAACTTTGTCCCCGAAATCATGATCCAGCTTTCTCCTTGAGGGTGCTACGGGGAGGAACTTTGTGATTGACTCTTTGGGCGCAATATAAAAACAATCCGGGAATTCAGTATGCAAATATTGCCGAAACGAAACGAAATAACATCATTTGCTCTATGAAGGTGTGAGAATCTAAGAGACTTTAGTAGAGCTAGGCATTGGGGCTGGAGTTGGTTGTACTCCGATATACTACAAGCGAAGTCTACATTTTCTTCACTTGTCAGGATCTACCATTCAAGGGACGATTAGGTAGTGCAGAGTGAAAGTTTATGAAAATTTCCACCATGACAAAGTAATTTAAAATGTAATGTTGTTACTTTGCCGAATAAATGTGTCATTCTTTTAATTATCTTAGCCGTGGTAATTTGTAATGTATATTAATTACATATTAGTGATATAACTTAATTACAAGAAGAAAGTAATTTGGCAAACTTCGGTGACAATAGGCGAAAGTCTGGGTACTTTGAAATTTTGTGAACTTCGGAAACTGAAGCGTTATTTTATCTCAAATTAATTCGTACCTAGACATTTATTTGCAACCCCCACGACATGGGGGCCTTAAGGGCATTTCTCAACTTTCACTAATTGGTTTTATGGATAAAGCCACTGAGTGTTTGTCGAGTAGCACAAAGACCACCGTTTATTTTTTTTCTCGTAATTCTTTTTTGTCTGAGCAATCACCGAAATGTAGTTAATCACAGATTCCTATAAAATTCCACAAAACATTATATTTACGACGTGTAGTTACACTTTATTTTATTTACATCGATTACTAAAAAGAACTGCTCAGAATATTATCCCAGCGTTCCAAAAAGTGATGCTAAAACATCTAGCAAAAAAAAAAAAAAAAAAGAAAGCTAAAATAAATTTAGACCGTGCATACACATCTTTTTTTTTTTAATTATCTTAAAGTATCCAATATGAATGTTGGCGCTTCAACTAAACTTTTAAGCGGATCCTGCTCCGAATCATCCAAATTACTTTGATTTTTCCCCGGTATATCTTTTCGGCTGAGTTGTTCAAAGTGCAACCTCTCGTTCTTTGTAGGAACTGCTTCCCAGAAGGCATTGGTGCTCGGCGGTGAAGCGTGCATATGGGGCGAGTGGGTTGACGCCACCAACATCATCAGCCGAACCTGGTAAGGACAGCGTGGGTGTCACCTGCGAGGCGCTTTGTTTCCAACGATACCGCATGAAAGGCTGTTCAGGTGGCACACGACTCATCCCGATTTGCGTCGATCGCAATTTTCGGCAGAGGGAAGTTGAGTGTTTCCTCCGCTTCCGGTCAGCGTTGGAACTAATTTGGAGAAATGGAAGAGCGAGCGCCCACTCCCGTTTCTGGTAGAAGCTCACGACGTCGGCCGCAGGACGCAACGAATCGGGCCGTCGGCCGGCCGCCGTACGAGGCCTCCGCGGATGTTGTTTGTCTCGAACCTCGCGCGAACGAAAATGCATGAGAAGATGGCGAGGAGGCAGCTCCACGCGCATCTGGCGACTCGCTCTCGTCATTTAACAATCGCGCTGTTTCGAGCCCGGCAGCGTAGTAGATGTCTCGACTGACATCGGAAGTAGGTGCCGTAGCGGATGTGGTTTTTACGAAGCGCGCCCGTATTTTGTCGCGCAGGACGCGAGTCGTACTCTGTTTGGACGGCCCTTGTATTTCACGGAAGATAGGGAAGAGGAAGCGGTACAAGTCTGACTGGCCTTTCTATATTCTGTTTCACTTTGATCGAAGCCGACACTGGGATTCGATGGAGCCAATCGGGCATTGCGGAAAGTGCAGTGTCGCGGCGCTTCTTTTTCCTGATCACCGGCGAAACCAATCACGCACAGAAGTGAATCACGACGCATTAAGTGATTGGTAGAATCGGTGATGGCAAATGCACAAAGCCCACGAGCAGTTTTGCCGCTGCTTTACTTGCTCGATCAAAACCCAGCGTCGGCTGCGGTTCAAATTGAAACGTAGTAGAGTGAAAAAATTTCCTAAAAATAGGACGGGTAGATGTGAGATTGACCAGTTCGGCAGTAGACTCGCATCGCAAACTTTAGTTCGAGGTTGCACTTGAACCAAGCACCGCCTGGAATTCGGTAATCGTACACTGAAATTTTTTATGCCGGTTCCTTGACTCTAGTGTGCACTTCGAAGCGAGACGGAGTTCAGCGCAGCGATGTAATGCAAACTGACGGAAAAAAAAGCCTAATATACTAGTAATGCTACTTTGTCTTGTCTGTTACTTGTCTGCACTCGGTGATCCGGACCAAGTGTTTTGCGTCGTGGTTGCTCGGAAAATGCATTCCCCGTAACTAAAAGATCATAGCTTATTTTATACCGGATGCTACGAACATTAGCTCCTGAAATTCCTGGTATCAAGTTCAGTCTTATTGCGAAACGCTGCTCGTGAATCTCAGGGTTTCAATGAGATTCATTTCTTTGCTTTTTTACCTGTTTCTGCTTTGATGCTTTACTAAGACGTCCTTCAACGATAGTGCCCCATGTGCGTCATATCGCAATGGCTCGTTGCTCTACAGTAAAGCCTCGCTTTGCCCGTATTTGGGTTTTTAGGTTTCACCGCGGAAACGTTTCCCCGTGCGGATGGATGATTATCTCCGCTCGCTCTGCAAATAGATTACTCGTAATCGCTCGAGTAAAGTTCGAAACCTGACCGCGAGTGTCCGATACAAAAAATTGCGACGTTGGAAAAACAAAATGAAAATATTTGCCATCATCGCTTACAATGGACCATGTAAGCAAAATTGAATATTTACGTGGCAATACAAAAAAAACAAACAAAAAAACTGCAATTTTTAAAGCTACGAACACGATTAATATGCCTGCGGGCTTTAAAAGGATAGAGATATAGTGTTTTTACATTTAAAACAATTTCAGCTACCCGCCTTCCCCAACCGTACTTAAAGAACCTTTTCTTACAAGGTGCCGATTGTTTGCTTTTCACAACAAGCCCATGCTTCGTTTAAATTTCACTCGCAACATTAAAAGAGCGAACACGGCACATGTAGTAATTTCGGTTAATTATGATATATGGAATATTTCTAGCTGTTAATGTGTTCACATATGAAAACAGTAATAAAGCCGAAAAGCACAAGGAAGACACGGACGAACGGCGAACCGGAGACAACGAGAGATAGCAGTGTACTTAGTTTCGCCATAACGGGGCATCGTGGGAAGGCCACGGCCCTCTCGGGTCCACCCGAGACACCGAGCGGAGCCCGGGACACCTTTCTGCAGGAGAATTGTGCTCCGACAATACACTGCCGAGTGCCTCACTGCGATGCCGATCGGTGATGCTGGTGAAATAAAGAAAAATGCAGGTTGTACGCGTGGCTTCCTGCGTCCGTGACTTGTTGGCGCTTTTCAGCTTTCGTTTGTGCTGAATTTTCGGGTGCTTTGCAACTCCCTGCCCTAGGCCCCGAGCTTCTGCGGTCGCTGAACGACTCTGGAGTCCCGCCACGCTGACGGATCCCGAGGCCGCGGTGGAGAGGTTCGAGGAACACCGCTGCAGGATGATCAGGTGGGTTAGAGTAGAGTCTGCTAAAAGCGATTAACTGAAAATATAATCCCAACCCGGCAGAACAATTTGCGACTTTCCAAGTCAAAAGTAATGACGAACGTAACGGATACTTTCGTGAGTAATTGTCAATATTTGTGACTCTCAAGTAATCAAGTAGTCTAATTCAATGTTTTGAACCGAGACACATTCTAGGTGTGATAGATTATCTTTTTTGAGTAAAGTGCTCAAGACTGGCTCGTGGTGGTGTATCTTCGTTTGCTGTGGAGGTAACTTTCGGGAGGGACTTCCGCCGCCGTTTGCGCATCTTGCTTCGGAATCTCTTCTGCTCATGGGAAGCAGAGTTTTCTTGTCTTAATTTTAAGAACTGCTAAGGAATATCTTGGCGACACTAAATAAAGTCTACTTGCCAAAACAAATATTTGAAAACATATTTACAAAGTTTAGATAATTAAGTTGCTTACTTTACACTTTTTCCTGACGTCGGTCCCGGTGGCTAACACTATCCTTAAAGGCTCTGTTACATTCCACGGAACGCGCGCGCCAGCGAACGCTGACCCAGGTCGGCTGCGTCACGTCACTCCTCGCGCGTCAAAAATTCATCCTCGCCCTGGCGGCTCCCGCGGCGCGCGTCGGTGGGCCGCCAGCGCGGTGCATGCGCAAAATCTGACTACGAGGGCGCGTTTCCTGCGAGAGTGCGCCATTTCTGGCGCCTTTTCGTTTCAAGCAGCAGACGAGAATTCTCGCGCTTCTTGAGCGCCAAGTTCGAGCGGAGATGTGGACGTATCTTGCACGACGAAAATTGGCGCTTGCACTGTTGCTGCACGTCCAGGTCGGGCCCGCTCGTCGTTCGCTAGCCGCCGCTTACGCGCACGCTTTCTTCATCTCTGCACATTTTCTTCGGGGCAAATTACACTTTGTTTACAATCTCTGTAAGCACAAGTAGATGGCGCAAAGTCGCTGCCCGCGCTCACCCAGCCCTCAACTACCACGACGCATTATCCCTAGCCAAGACACCCCGTTGCGTATCCGCTCTCTCTTTTTATCCGGCCACGACCGCCACGTTAACCACGAACGGTGACTGGAGCCTTTTCGTATGAAGCTTCTCCTTTCAAGCAACTTACAAATCATGATCGCTGCAGCGACTGAACACAGTACTTCAATAAGCACAGACGCGATGTGCGGAGCAACGAAATAGCCTAGCTGTGGGGAGACCGCACAGCTCCCGAATGACCTCCCAAGCATTGCCTTTCCTGTCCGTGTAACGTTACTCAAGCTTCCTCGTGTCGTATACACACGGGTGAAAACGCATTTTCTCGATCAGCTTCTCGACCGACCGAGTCCTATTCTTCAAACATGATACCACACGGACTGGTGCCCCCGTCGCCTGCTATTGCTCGTATTCGCCGCGCTTCCCGCGCGAGGACTGCCGGGAGCCAGCGCGTGATGCATCCTGGTCCGGCGTCGCTGGCGCGGAATACGGCACGCTCAATTTTGGCGTCGAGGCGGTCAGGCAGCGTCGAACGCCGCCGGTCGCGCCGGTTACGCCATGACGCCGAAGTCTAGAGCGTCGGGTTTACGGCGACGTGACGTCGCTGTGACGCGCTCGCACGCGCGCTCGCGTTACGTCCGAGTATAACAGAGCCTTAAAGAACTATTTGCGTTTCTTTTTATACATTTTCTGTCTTAGAAAAAACACCCTGTACGAAAACTGTTCGAAACGTTTCCGACCTAAATTATTGCAGCAGAAACAAATGAACATCAAAATGTGCCCTCTGATGGAAGGGTGGGAGGTGGCTTAATGCGCAATTGGGAACGTTTTCAAGACCGCAGAAGATGTCAGTTTCTGGCGGCCAGACTGTTATTAAGGGAGTCTATTCAGAGTTTGTAGGATATCATCTTCGAGTAATAACGGAAAGACTCGAACAAAGACATCACATAAACGTTTGCGTGAAGCTTTGTGATACTCAAGTGGAAACCAGTTGGAAGGTTCAGCAGACTTTTGGTGACGATTCTATGGGATTCGCGCAAATTAATGAGTAGTACAACCGGTTCAAAGATGGCCGTCCGGTGGTGGAGAGCAACTCACGTTCTGGGAGGCTTTCAACTAGCCGGAATGACGGTGCTACCAATCAAGTGCGAACTTTGGTGATACAAGACCGCCATAGTACCATCCGCAAACTTGCGCACGACGTTAGAATGAGTGCTCGCGGGGTATATTGCATTTTCAGCGAGAATTTATCCTATCGGAGAGCGTCTGCAATTTTGGTGCCGAAGTTCATAACGATGCAGTAGAAAGAAATCCATCTGAAGGTCTAGAACATTACGCTAGACTCCACATATATTGTCTAGCAACTTCCTGAACACCGTCATTACTACGACATAATGAACAGTGCACAAACGACAGTACAACAGGAGAGAGACGCATAGGACACACCAGTGTGTGTCTCTCTCACTGTCCTTTGTGCGCTGTTCATTATATCGTCTAGATAGCAACTGGCCCAACTCATCACATTGCACCGTCATTACGGTTGACAAGTTGTGGGTTTAAGCCTATCACCGAGAAGCCAAGGCACAGCGCGATTGTCTGCAGGCTGTAAGATGACCGAGGCAAATAAAAACACTCCAGGTGCGCAGGAACGGCAAAGTGATGTTGACCGTTTTATTCGACTCGGTGGTGCACCACGAATATGCACTACAAGGCCAAACGTCACAAAAAACCTGGAGGTTATCCGTCGTCTTCTTAACTCTGTGTGGCGCAAGGTACCAGATCTGTGGGAACCGAAACTTGGGAGCTGCGCCATGACAGTGCACGTGCTCATTCCTCGTATCTGGTTCAAAGTTTCCTGGCAAACACACAACCGATGTGGTTTCTCAGCTTCCCTACTTTCCAAACCTGTCTCTTTGCGATTTTTGGCTTTTCCTCAAGCTGAAAAGGCTTCTGAAAGAAACCCAATTTGAGTCACGAGACGACATTAAGCGGAATACGACGGTCCAGCTAACCTCCATTCGGAAAACGACATAAAAAAATGCTTTGACAAATGGCAGGACCGCTGGGAGAATTGTGTGGAATCTCAAGGAGAGTACGTTGAAGGAGATTAGGGTCTCAAGCCTCCAGGGAAATAAATGTATTTTTTCCGGCCAAAGGTTTTATAATGTTTTATAATGTTTTAACAGCTTTCTTATATATATATAATGAAGTGATGAAGAGCGGTCCCCGCTCGAAACGTCGTAATAAACTTCGAATTAGTAACTCCGACAGCACGCATCTTGGACTTATTAACTTTTCCCGGTCCATTGTTTTTATATTTACCTTACTTCATATATATATATATATATATATATATATATATATATATATATATAGAGAGAGAGAGAGAGAGAGAGAGATAGAGGAGAGAGTGTGGTTGATGCTAAACTCTGAAACGTGTGTGGGCTTACTTTTCAACAGCACACGGTGGCAGCCAATGACGGAAAGTGACAAAAAGGTCCCATCGAACATCGAAGCTCAAAATACAATGTTACCACAAAAGTCAATTTCCACCAGGACTGTGATTGAGCAAAACGTTATGCTCCCTAAGCACATCGCCTTTTTTTTTTATGCATATTTTGAGCTTCGGCATTCACTCAGATCCTTATATTGTTTTTTTTTTCTTTTTTGTGTGTGATTGACTGCCACCGTGTTCTGAAATGAAGCGAGCCCACATACGTTTTGGGAGTGTATTCGCATTCATAAAACTCATAAAGATGCATGTTAGACCACCAGGTTTTCGAGCGTTTTCGAGAGAGATTACAACCTTTATTGTAACTCAACGCTTTCAGCTCGTTGCACTCAAGGGTAGCACATAAGTACTCAACGTTCCCCTCAAGACGCTCTACAATGTACACTCGCTTTTGTGTGCGCCATAATTTTAGGTAATTTCGGAAAGGTCATCATTCATTATACTTCGATCACCCAGATTCACCGTTTGTAGAAATGGTGAATCTGGGAGAGGTAAGATAGCAAATACCGAACTATAAAAAATTTTTTTTTTATTCTTATCTCACGAATTTAAAGCAAACAGTTTCCAATAATAATTAATAGAGAGCAACAAAATACGAATCTAAAAGCAGTTTATTATTTCTGACGTTATCTATAAATTATTTTCGCAAAGAGAATGTTGATTTTGCCTAGGCCGCTTCGTTGCGGTTGTGTGCAAGTCAAGAGCATAGCTGCAGCGAAGTATATGCCTGAGAAAACCTAAATGGGATTTTTTGCTTCACCAGATGAAAAGTTTTGACTTTGCGGAGTATAGAACTGCCTTTATCCCCCAATGTTCAGAAATTTTTTCTGTTATATTTTATTATATTCTCTATAAAATATAAGTGGTATATATTGTTATATGATATTGTGACGAATGACGAGGTGACGACAAAAAGAATAACTAAAGAAACATAATCCTTTAATGCGGCGAAATTTCGACAAACCGAAAAGAAAACAGCAGAGCTTTGCAGCCGTCAAACTAGGCTTAGCAGCAGGATCGAGCGAAAGAGCGAGACTGACTCCGGCTCGCCACGCGTAGCCACTTTTGTGTACGCGTGGGGTCCTGAAACTACCTGCATAAACAGTTCGACGTGTAGAACATTCAGACCTCGAACAAGCAACGGGGTTATCGAATTTACCGGAACGAGACATTTACCAAAATCCAAAAGATGCGTCCGGTACTAGCGTCGAACCTCGGTTCCTTCGCGTACGAGCCAAGCGCGCCGCCGGCTTGTCTAGGTGCGTGCGCGGCGTAGCTTCCCCTTTAAACACGGATCGCCCCGATTTTACAGAAAACGAATCAAACGAACGGTAGGCTAAAAAGTTCTCTGGAACACAAAAAACGTCCACAGTCGTATCGAGCGCAAAACTGCTTGAGTCGAATGACGTGTACCACCTCGTATCATGGTCGGCGTTGTGATAAGGTTTGCTTTCCGTCAGGCACAACTTCGTAGTTGAGCTCCCTGAGGTGAACAAGTAT